TATGCGTATCACAATATGTGCGAAAATAAAAATGACAAAGTATTGACAGTTTTCCTAAACATATCGAAAATAATTCATCGTCTTTGCGTAGAAAAAAGAAAAATATTTAAACTTAAAGTTTAGCACAGTCTTCGCGAAAAAAATATTAACATAATAAATCTATTCTATTCCGTTTATAAATAAATTTGCACATAGATGCAAAATACTGTTGATTTTAGTATAAAATTAGTAAATAGAGTAATGTAATAAAAGTAATGTTAAGCATAATAATAATTAGCTGTAGTTTGCAAAGGTTCGCTTTCTAATGGCAAGTTACACGATCGTCATATATGCGTTAATCGATTTTGCATAATTTCTCACGCATTTCGACGATCATATCTTATGAAATAGAATTAGTACATATCAAAACTTATCTAATCAGAAGATTGCATACAGCTTGCGAAAATTATTAGTAAGCAAGTTGAGCTTACAGCCTTGTGTACAACGGTACATTTTCTGGCTTATAACTCGTCACGAACTTAATTACTTTGACACGAATTAACGTACCACATTAAATTTCTACGAGATCTCATTTACATATAAATTCAATATGCAACAAAATATATATCACTTTTTGCCTTTCTTGGTACGCATTTATAGAAAAATCGAATTTTATATAACTTCCTTTACTTCAACGTTACAATTTTGTTTGATAATATTTTGATATCGTCGACTTAACGCCCGCGATAAATCGACAAGAACGTTGTCATAAGTGTGATATGATTAACCGTACTAGGATCGAAGCTGCGTGGAAGAGCAGATCGTCATTTGCCTCGCGCGTACATCTTGCGTCTCGAAAATGGCATAAAACTTTCTTTTTTTTTTTTTTTTTTTTTTTTGAAATTTTTATTTGTGATTCGTTAACGTAATTAATGCTATCGAAAAAGAAAAAATACCCGTCGGCATCGGCGAATAATATTTTAAAAATTCTTTGGTCGTCGGCGCAACACACAATCGTCGTGCGTTAACGCGGACTCGTCTCAGCAAGGCCTACGATCTTTTCTTAATTTCTATTGTCGCTCTTAAGCTCGCATTTAACAACAGGTGAACGGTTTCTCGAGTATGCCGTGCGCAATACTAGTATTCTGCGGGCTCTCCTCGATGGAGGGCGTGAGCGGCATGCCGTCGCCGTTAAAAAAGCTATTCGAGTCGGAAATCTTGACAGTGGTGATGTCTGTATTGTTCGATGCCACTCTCAGTAGACCCTTAGCGATGGCCAGGAAAACGGTTTCCACTCCCTCGTTATGTAACACTGATATCTCGTGATATGTAGCACCAATCGACGTGGCGTACTTCCGACCCTCCTCACCGTCGACTTGCCGCTGATGCAGGTCGGACTTGTTACCGATCACGGTTAGCACCATCGACTCCTCCACGTTCTGCTGTAGTTCCTTTACCCAACCCTTGATCGCGGCGAAGGTGTTGTACTGCGTGAGGTCGAACACCAGCATTGCCGCGTTGGCGTTCCTGTAGTACATCGGTGCCATGGAGCGGAATCTCTCCTGGCCAGCCGTGTCCCATACCTGCGTAAAAAAGAGTAGTAATGCTTTCAATTTTTTAAACCGATCCGGTTTTATAAGCAATTTTAAGCAGTCAATTGGATAAAGCGTGAATTCTTAATTTGCGTTATGGAAGGCGTGATAACGATACGGAAATAGTCGAAGAATAGATGGATCGAGAGGTCAGGGATTAATAGAGAAGATAACACGGGTGACGATTGATTTGACGATCTCATCGCTATTAATTCGATTCCTATTAATTTGATACATTAAATTTTTCTATTAATCGTTAAATATTAATATCAAAACATAACGATATATTTTTTTTAACGATCGTACATGCAATTTTATCTTCGTATCCCCTAAATTGAGCTTGCAGTTGAAGAAAGATGCCCCTATCGTCGGACTTGCGTGCTCAAAGTTTCCCATGTAACGCCCGATCAAACTCGTTTTGCCAACACCTGAAAATAATATGGCGATTTGTATATCAATAACACTTGCGTGTACAATTGTTCAATATTAGTACTATCATTAGATACGTGTGGCATACATATCGAACTTCGTTCTATATATGCCAAAAAAATCAATCTTCTTATTTGATAGTGTGTGATTTGAAGCTACTATGCACGAATTGAATTTTTATACAATCTTAAAAAATTTAAATAGATGAACGTTCGCATAATGAATCACATCCACTTTTATATTTATTATAATTTATTTTTTTTTTATCAAATTATTATTATAATAATTATTATTAAATGAAAAAATAAAACTTCGTTAAAACGATATAGTTGCATCGCAGTAATTATAATAAAATACAACGATAAATTTTATATATCGTTGTAAAAAGATCAATATTTTAGAAGATAATGCATTTTTGTTTAGAATTATTTTCCAAGATTTTCCTATTTTATCGATAATATGAACTGATAAATAAAAAACTTTGAATAGAGAAAAAAAATATTTTATACTTTCTAGTTCTTGTCATCGGTGTTGTGGGTATTTGGTTGTCACTAGTCAAATATTATGTTTGTTTGTGGGTAAAATGTGATTGTGATAAAAAAAAAGATATACGTTAAAAGCTGATTATGAGATTCTCTAGAATTTGTGCTTTACATATTATCAATGCGCTATGCTATATCGGGAATTGTGTCATGCGCGGATTTTGACCTCCATCCATCCCGGAATGTATATATTCTAATATAAATAAATATTGCGTCTTGCGTCAAACAGATATCTGATGCCAAATGTAAAAAATATCATTTACGATTTTTTACGATTTAATTCTTAGAAAGAATGAAAATATTCTTCAATATATAAAATTTCAACAGTAAAAGAAAGATCAGCAACGGCCAGAAAGCATTTGTTGATACGTAATTATATTTATGTCATCTAATATATGCACGATTGTTTCTATAACGATTGTAAAAATAACAATCATAAATTCACTAAATAGTTTATCGAATAGGCTTCACAGCGGATCGAAATATTTAGCGTTTTTGCGATCAATAATTATCTGTACAATATAGTATATGCATCTATTAACATATATTCATGCATCGACAATAGATTCTCATTAGTTTACGGCTATAAAAAAAAAAGAGAAAAAAAAATCTTATATTTCATCTGAAAGATTTTAGGTGAACATTTTATTCGCACAACGTAATCAGGCAATTATATTGAATATTGCAACATCCAATTTCGTAATGAATATAAATAAGCAGCAGGTTTAAACTGGGTTTGTACGCGTTCACCTAACCTCTATGCATAACAAAAGATGGTTCGGAAACAATAACGCGATGACTAATCTTTGAGATGCGTAATCGCGTCTGTAAGTTCACGGACTTGCTCCTTCTAAACGTCAACAGAGATCATCCATTTATGGTATTATATAACGATAACATGAGGGAAATTTTATTGCCGCGTGTTTGTGTATTGCTACCAGCACTTACCCTGCGATCCCAGTATTACTACTTTGCCCTCTATCGTCTTCATGTTCGACGCACCACTACATAATCGGATTGAAGGGTACGTCGAACTAGAAAAATCTCACGTACTGCGCGATTAAACTAATAACAGTGCGACTGTTTTGACGTTTCCCACGCTTATGATCGTGCAGCCCGTGATATTGTTGTTACGTTGATCGGTAACTTTGGCTCGCTATTGCCTATCTGGTGCTGTTGCCATCTCTCAACGGTATGCGTCAGCTTCTACTGCGTTTTGCATCAGTTGATAAAAAGCGTTTAGTCAGAATTGAAATAAACGATCTATCTAATCCGATATATTTTATTAAATTACATATTACATAGTAATTAAAGTACTATATTAAATATTTAAATAAAGTCTTACGTTCATTAACCATTGTTCGATAAGTTATCTACAAAATAATTTTTTTTTTAATCCCTTGTATGATAAGTTTCACGTATTTTTATAGATGGCTATATCTCTTATTTTACTTCTCTCGTGTATCTTGCAATTATTATTTACACATTGTTTTTTAGAAATATACGTTTGGATAGAAATATTTTTAGGGAAGAGATCCGTTTTTTTTCGAACACGCTATATTTGAACAGTTTATTTTTACACTAGTATAAATGTTCGTCTTTAAACCGACGCGATCATTGAACTTATCTTTTGTTTAATACACTGCAGTGGAATTTAATTAAAATATTCAATATAATATATATATACTGCCGTGGATAATTAATTAAAGTTGACTTTATTTCGACAACAATGCAAACTGTTCCGCGAAGCTTCGTTATATTTTATTACGGCGAATTACCCTCAATTCGATTTCAGACGCAAAGGTCCTTTTTTTACATCACGATGCATAGCCAGAGTGCAGAGATAGAGATAGAGAGAGAAGGAGAGAGGAAGAGAGACGTTAGTTTAATTCATATTACTTTTCTCATAAATCCGTCGGGACTCGTGCGCGACTATGGAACGGTGGCATAACGCAAAATTCATACACGGTTATACCCGTAGTATGTATGTACTCGTGTATATATGTATATATATATATATATGGTAAACGCTCACCGAGGGAGAGGGAGGCAGAGATCGTAGGCAGAAACCACGAGAAGAGCTCCGCGGTTCTCTAGCGAGCGACTCTTGCCTCTCTCTCTCTCTCTCTCTCCCTTTCCCTCCCGCCCATCCCTCTGAGCCAGGGCTGTTCCGATTCCAGACAGTTTTTGCTGAAACATCGTACCGTTGATCCGGCATTTTCCAGGCCGCTTGGTTTATCGCTCGGCTTGATCCCTCTGTTCGTACCGCGGTGTTACAAGCCCCTGCAATCGATGTTTTCGTCCCATCTTTCTTACTCCGCTCCTCTCCTGTGCGTCCGTATCAGAATTTACCTATTTCTTCTTATCCCCCTGTTTCTCCCTCTCTCTCTCTCTCTCTCTCTCTACTTTTCTCAACCTCGATAGATAACCGCCGCCGTTTATCTCTCGACTCTTATAGTTACATATACATGGCAATGTAAAGCTCCGTACGATTCCCAGACCGCGCATTCGAGACCTCGGTCTTGCTCGGAAAAAGAATCGACCTTCGATACACTAGAGATACGACTGCTATTGCTGAAAAATAAAATCTCGCTGAATTTAACACTCGAAGGAGTGTTTAAAAAAAAGGGGGAGATAGTAATAAGACACGAATGTGATATTTGTTTAATCTGTTCTCCCATCGGGATCTCATTGTCAGTTATATATTCGATTTATCTTTCGCCGTGTATTTTGACAATTCCTTGGGGGGGGGGGGGGGAACAGCCGCCTTTGAATGGCCGATCTCGTTTGTCCATTAACTCGGTTCCCTTTAATGCATCGTAGTAAGAGCTGCGGACTCCTCCACGGTGTTTTGACACTCGCCGATGCGTGACGTCGACCGCTATAACGTCGCCCCGGTCCATTTTGCAACGCGATTTATTTGCGTCATCCTTCCACGCGTTTCCCTTCGAGAAATCGTCGCGACGCCCGCTGCCGATGGAATCATCGTCGTATTTCATAGAAAGAAAGAGAGAGAGGAAAGACGGGAGTTGGAATCCCCCGGAAGTGGACGAAGTGGTGCAATCCTGAAAGATGTGCGCGCCGCAGGCAGGAAGCGCGCGGCCAAAGGATATAAATTGAATCGGGGTTTCGCATCCGACGCGTAAAAGCGAGTTCGCACGCCCTTTAAATCCACCCCACCCTCTGTTCCCCTCATTGCTTTATTGCGGCGCTAGACAACCATTATGGAACGGAAGATGCCAATAATTTTCGTGGCGCGTCGCTTGTACAGCTCGACGGGCAGTTTTGGGGGGATCCTTTAATTCGATGTTCTTGACTTTCCGAAACGATATGTCTGCGCTCTGTCGCGTTTAAACGACTCCTCTATCCTTGATTTCCTCGATACTAAATATTTGTATTTGATATGTCCCTTACCAGCGCAAAGAATATAATTTCGTTTAACATTTTTTTTTTTCCTCTACAAAATGTTCAATTCTTTTCCAAAAAAACAAGTATGACAAAATAAAAAAAGAAGTGGTATATGCGAGTCAAATGTTACAGGGATGAAACTCATCATTAGTTACAGCTATCGCAGATATACGGTGAACCGCAGGATTAGTCCCAAGTATTCTCGTACCAGTCGCGGTGACCTGTGGCTAGCCGTTGGCTTAGATACACGGGGCTTAGATTCGCCTTGGGTTTGGTTTAGGCCACCCTCACGAAGGCGATACGTCAACGTCATAATGGGGGTCATAAATCCGGCTCGCACGCGCCTAAACCTCGCTGAGGGGGGATGGGCGGGGTGGGGGGGAGAAGGGCGCACGCGGACCACGCATCGCAACCGTCCATAATCCGTCCGCGTGTTCATACCTTCGTCTTAGTTTGCACGCTGACTTTACTGGATATTAGAGACTTCCATCCGTCATATCGTATCTCGTTTTCGCTCCAAGCGCTGTGAGAAAGTGTCTAAAGACAAACAAATACAGAAGCTTGTGTAAATACGAATATTACGTCAGATATATCGTCAATTTCTTTCGTTTGAGAGAGAGAGAAAGAGAGAATAACGACATCAACAGAGAATTATAAAAATAATTTTTTTATGAATAAAATAACATTAATAATATATTTTTATATAATTTTTAAATCCGATTTTTCTCTCTTTACAATCGTGATTTACTATACAATTTCTGATATTAATCGTGTAGCAGCGGCATAATGGCGCTATAATAATGGTACCACGTTAATGTTATTTCACACTAGGCGTTATCACAATTTCGCCCGGCAGGTGCCAGGATCTAGATTACCCGCCCGAGCTATATACGCGGGTAATTAACGGAGAGCAGTTTGTAGAAATAATTCCACCCTTATCGCGCGGGTAAAGTGAGCGAGAAATAAATTTACTCTACATTTTCTTTTCTTTCTCTACGCGCGCCAACTCAGGCGCGCATTCACTGTTTCATTCGCAATCAGTGGCAATGTTGTTTCACGGCGTAAATGTTCAGATGTAAGTGTTGGCAGTAACCTTAAAGTTATCGCGCGGCCGACGGGGTCGTTAACGAGCATACCACGTAAAATGCAGGTTACCGGTCGAAGGGCCGGCATTCTGTCACGGTGTTACGGCCACTAAGGGCTGTTTACATTGGCGTTGTCAACCGACGTATACCACGCACGCGATCGTACATAAGACGACGACAGTAAAGTTGCTGTAAAGTCGTCAATCAGCTATACTTGATGTCGGCTAATATTGTTTGACGAGAAATTATTAGGAAGAAACTTGTGTTTACTATCTAATATCAAATATAAGGGAGGTTTCTTTTTGATAAGAAAATATTCGCCGAGAAGAGAGAGGTTGATTGAAGAATCTTTCAAATTAAAAATTGTGCAGCGCGAACACGCTGTACGGCCGTTGACAGTTCCACGAAATGTTTCTCTGTTTTCTTTTGAGACTCTCTGTCGTGAGTAATGGACACCATGATTTCCCAAGAGTCGTCGAGCTATATTGTATATTTTCGCACGAACGTGTATGACCGCCTGTCTTCTTGTCATATGACATTTAACTGAAATGTCGGGCTTAAAAATATAATATTATTATTACGACACCTTAATTAACATTAATGGAATAATCACGAAAAAAATCATGATAAATAAATCTTGCGATACATTTGTCGATGTTTCGTAGAATTTGTGGAAACATTTATGTTCTTACTAGGGCAGGTCACGTCGGATTACGTGCTACACTCGATTCGCTTGTATCGGTTTCGCTGCGGCAAGTAGGTCAATGGCGAAACCATTTCGAGACCTCGGATATTGGTATCGCGAAGCAATAGTTTCAATTCAATTTAGGGAAGTCAATTCTGCAAGAAGCGGCGACGTATTTATATCATTCGCGACGTATTCGCGTGACGAAGTATATTATTGCAAAAATATGTCGTTTAGTCCTCATTGCAATTACGCATAGAACTAGTTGAGTAGACAAATTAGTTCTATTTTAATAGATATCGCCATTGTGTGTGTAATGTATAATAACATATAAAAGAGTAATGAAAATAGATAATATATATATTTTTTTAACTTGGGGAAATTGCGGAATGATAAAATATAATAACATAGAAGCAATAACGTAATTGATATTTGAAAGCGGAAACGTCGAGTAACGATAGAAAAATGGCAGAGAGTGCTGGCAGAGAGGACATAGGGAAGTCAATTCTGCAAGAAGCGGCGACGTATTTATATCATTCGCGACGTATTCGCGTGACGAAGTATATTATTGCAAAAATATGTCGTTTAGTCCTCATTGCAATTACGCATAGAACTAGTTGAGTAGACAAATTAGTTCTATTTTAATAGATATCGCCATTGTGTGTGTAATGTATAATAACATATAAAAGAGTAATGAAAATAGATAATATATATATTTTTTTAACTTGGGGAAATTGCGGAATGATAAAATATAATAACATAGAAGCAATAACGTAATTGATATTTGAAAGCGGAAACGTCGAGTAACGATAGAAAAATGGCAGAGAGTGCTGGCAGAGAGGACAAAATAATTTATATCGGAGTAGTAGAAATTTAATTTTCTTAAAAGCGGGAAAAAAAGAGAGCTATGCGGCGCGACCGATGCGAAGAAAACCCGCGGTTCAACTAAAATCAGGCGATCGTTAAATAAGCGCAACGATATCGATCTCATTTCCTCATTCCTTTCTCGAAGGGAAAGAAATTCCACGGCAAGATCTCTCATTTGTCAACGTAGAAAGCTGGAGCGTCAATTCGCGTGACCATCAATTCACGCGTATTATTCCGACTCGAACCTAATCATTGAGCATCATCAAATGTAAAAAATGCGAATATTCCGTCGATGGAATAGCATTTCCATTTCCCGAAACGATCGGTGGAAACGAAGCTGGGCGATGAGAAAGAGAGAGAGAGAGAGAGAGAGAGAGAGGCAAGAAGGTGATGAGAGAGGGAACGGCGGAGCGTTGCCTTCGTCTTCGACGAAGACGACGACGGCGACACTTGCTGGTCGCCAAGAGCAACGTAGCAACAATCCCGTTTAGTACTCCCAGCGTGTCTGCGCGGTGGAGAGTACAGAGAAACGTGGTGGTGGCGGCGGGCGAACGAGCTCTGCGGCGGTGCCAGGGGTGAGGAGGGTGTGCACGAAGGGTGGATGAAAAGTGAAGAGTGGGGTACCAGGATACGAGACGGCTGGCTAGGACGGGTGTTGCGGGGTGTCGAGGGGGGAGAAGGGGGGGGGACCGCGCAGGAGAGAATGACGGAGGCAGTCGGAGGATATACAGGGGATCGGGTGGAGAGCCGTGGCAGAAGGAGGATGGAGGAGGGTGGTGGTCTGGGTGGTTGGTTGGTGATGCATTGCGCGAACTCCCCGCGGCGAGGTCACGTGACTCGTACCCCCGGCCTATCATTGATCGCTCCCCGGAGGAACGTCGGACACACTGTACCCACCAAGCATTGTACCTTGCACTTTACCAGTTTTCGGAGGACATTCTTAAAGCTAAAATAGAGACGGAGAGGCGGTGAGAGACGGTGGTAGACGAAAGATGTTTCGCCAGCGACGACGTTTCGAAACGTCACTCTCTTACGATCTCATGCTTCGGTGAAAAATATTATTCGCGCTCTCTCTTCTTCTTTCGCGATAACTTTGATGATAGCCTTATTCTTTTATTAAAACGTATCATGATGGGTAAAGGCAGGAAAAATGTTAGATTTGTTGTTATCTTATCGATCAATATCGCGAGAGATAGCAATATAGTTTCTCGCGATACGCGGTAATATCGGTAACGTTATTTTATCGCGAACGATAAATATCTCGGATGTTTTTCGGGATTTATTAGAATGCGAGGTCGAAATGGAACAGTACTTGAATATGTGAGTGTCAAGTGGGAACATGCGAGGCTATTTTTTCCCTTTCAGGGACTAGAAAGACATTTTAGAGCAGAATGTTGCGCCTGAAAAATCTACATCTTTCTTCTTCCATGTTTTATCCACTGCTTCGTAACAAAACACTCTCCTCGCGAAATATACATTGTAATACAATAAAATAGGACAAGCTAAATATTTTATATCGGTATACGGAATGTTTCACGTGAAATAAATCCAGTCGCGCGTTTCGTAGTTGTAGAGGATATCAGAGAGACAAAGAGAAATATTATAGAACGCTTCCATTATGGAACATAATAATTTATATGCTTTGAAAAATTAAAATTTCCTATATTTCACACACACGTGCGTTGAGAAAGAGAGAAGGGGGGGGGGGGGGGACAGAATAAATATTAATTATTTTAAAATGCGCGGAGGATAATCACAATTCCAAACGGTCGACGCGATATTATGGTTAATTCATGCCGAACACGGAAGTCAGAGCTTCCGTACATCGAAATAGACAGAATAATTTATAGTTACACGTCGAGCGATGAAGCTAATTAGCAAATGATATTTAATATAACGCTCTCGCGTGCCCGCGCGTTGGCACCAAAAAGGTACGCAGCATCCGTTTCGCATCCATTCAATGCGTAATTATAAAAAATGTGTTTGTGTTTTATATGACTCCTACTGATCGTTACACGTGTGAACACCACTACTGTGGCGCTTCCGTGTCGGCAGATTACAACCGTTGTTATAGATTTATCGACGTTATCGTTTGCGTACGCGCGCTGACGGAAGGTAAAATTTATATAAAGTATGAAATTCTTCAAAGAATTACATCGTATTATTGGAAAAACGATTTAATTAATGTCGGAAAATTTCATACGATGTCGCTTCTTTCTCGCGCAAATTTAATCGAAAACTTGTATTCTTGTATGTTTATCGATGAATACGATAGTTCCGGGATCGTTTATACATTTATTGTACAGATTCTTGCTAATACGAAAATAATAACGTCGAACAAAGGCTGCCACCGGCGGTTCGTCGACGATCCCGAGGTGACGTTCGACGGGAATTGGAATTTCCTGCGGTTCTTTTGTGATGCAAAGAGAAGAGGACCGGGTTGCGCGCTGAGGTGCGAGCGAGAGGGGCAACGATGTCTTTTAGAATTAAATAGTTACGACACCCTCAAAGGCCAGCTGTTCGGACTCCGAGATCTCGGCTCTTGCAACCCTCCCCGTTCGCAACCTGCTCCTTTCCCGCGAAAACTCTTTAAATCGCTCCTTTCGCTCCCGGCGAGAGTTTATTAAAAAGGGTGAAAGGGTGAAGTCGCGAAGAAAAGAAGGGTAAGGGGCCTAAAGGCGGGCCGAGCTTTAATATATTTTGATTGATAGGATTAGCACTTCCTCGATTTTCATGGACCGATTCGGTCGGAAGGTCCCGAGGAATAAAAAACATTAGGACTCGCATTAATTTCTCTTGCGAGAAATAAATAATAAATATCGGTCGCAAATAACGAAAGAAGAGAGAAGCGATTACATCTGCGTGCATCCTATGTCGCGCAAACGATATATATATATATA